TTTTTTTTTAGAGATGGGGGTCTCACTCTTGCTCAGGCTGGACTTGAATGCCTGCTCAGGCAATCCATCTGCTTTGGCCTCCAAGAGTGCCAGGATTATAGGCGTGAGCCACCCAGCCCACAGTGCAGATTCTTAATAAACATCTAATGAATGAATATTTTGCTCTTTGTGGGTAAACAGACATATTAGGCTATTTTAATGAAAAATAATCTGTCACTCATGTAAATATTTCCCTCTCTTTTTTGGACATCTGTGGATGGCACATGTATTCTGAGTGCTGAGTACAATTAGTATAGAATCTCATCAGCTTTACATAAAACATGGAATTGTCTCTGACCTTATTCTCACTATACCACCTTTCTGTTAAGCTCAGAAAAATTACTGGTTGATTATAATTTTTATAGCTGGTTCACAGGGTTATGATTGTGAATGATCGCTGTCCTCAGTGATGGTCTTCAGGGATGACTAAAATAAATTAGAAGGTTCACCCAGTTTGCTGCTTCTGAGCTCTTCAGCAAACCTCTAGGAAGGTTTCTGTCTGCTCTCTTACATATGGTGTTACTTTCTGCTTGTAGTTGCTTCCACAAGTTAGCCACTTCTTTCACAAACTGTAGCTTCTAAATAGTAGCATAAAAAGAAACCAGTTTCCTAAGACAAAGTGTTAGTTAAATGCAAACAATGCTGATCATAGGCCTGAGGCAACCTGTGTGATCTAAGACATGGACTTGGTCTATACTTATGGTTCTATGATATTTAAAGTTGACTAGTATGAAAATAATGCACAGGTACCTACTGAAAAGAATATCAGATACCTGTGCATTATTCTTTTCAATAGGTACCTGTACATTATTCTCCCATTATGTTAACTCCTTGCAAAGGCTGCTAAGTAATTTTAAAATTCTTGGGCTCATCAGTTGACCATGTATCAGCTCTTATGTGAACTAACAAGAAAGATGAAATACACATGACCTCAGCTGCATCAAGCAGTTGCAAGAACCTTTTATAGAAGCTCAAAAGAAGTTATAATAAAGAAGTCAATCAATAAATCAATAGAGCGCCTTCTACCAACTTGGCCAAAGGAAATTACTTTGATAAAGAACATTTTTGGAGGAACAAAGCAAACCTATGACAACACACATGTACTGGTAATTTTGATAATGATAAGTTCCATCATTCTTCAGCAATCCATACCTAGTTTTGTCTTGGGATGAGAACATACCTTTGAACCAGTGGCAGAGGAAGGAAACTGAGGGTAGAAGTCATGTCCAGTCCACAGTCCAACATAATCATGGTCGATTTGAATTTGAGCACATTGCATGGCAAGGTTGGGTGCCCAGATAGGCAGAACTGAAAAAAATTAAATCACTTTTATCAATAATCCATTACAGAAGGAGAAGGCAAACAGCAGAAAAACTCCAACCAACCAAACAAAATAATCACCTACAGAAGAGCCAAAGAAGTAAAGTACGTTGAGTACAATCAACCCTCTTTTCTCGTAAGAACAGCTCGCACGCTCAGCTGACTTTCCATGTGGCTTTCTTCCTTCCACTGCTTGGGTGCCACTTTCCCTAAGAGTTCAAAATACTCTAAAGCCTCAGATCACACTTGCCTTTTCTTAAGTACCAAGTTATACCCCAGACAAGCACAGGTGTAGAGGGGCCAGGTTTCAAGGCTGTGATGGTCTATTCCGCTCTCCAGGGTTACCTCTGGACTCCTACCTTCCTTCTGTAGGAAGTACTGCCAAAAGCTGTGGAAGTCAATGAAACTCTAAGCTGTATCCTCAAACTACGTTCTAGGCTTGATTTTCTCCTCCAGTAAATAAGTGACTTTCCAGAATGAGAGGAAATGGTTGGAAAGGTTAACAAGTGCCAGTAAAGGTTTATGTCTTAGCTTTGTCAGAAGAAATGACACAAAAGTGACTTCCTTGAAGTGCAGACACCAAGCAGGAGTATGGGACCCCTATTCTCACCCACTCAGGAAGAATGATGGTTTCTGTTTTGTTTTGGTAGAGACAGTTTCACTTTGTCACCCTCAGCAGAGTGCCATGGCAGTGTCACACAGCTCATAGCAACCTCCAACTCCTGGGCTTAGGTGATTCTCTTGCCTCAGCCTCCGGAGTAGCTGAGACTACAGGCACCCGCCACAACGCCTGGCTATTTTTTTGTTGCAGTTTGGCCGAGGCCAGGTTTGAACCCGCCACCCTCGGTATATGGGGGCAGTGCCCCACTCACTGAGCCACAGGCTCCGGCCCAAGTAATGGCATTTTTTAAAACCTCATGTTCTAAAAACAATAGGGCTAACAGCCAAGAAATTGTGAATATTCTAAAAACTTCTTTATTCCAAGTTTATATATGATGACTGTATTTTACCAAATAAAATTTATAACTCCTGGTCTGAAAAAGCACAAAGTACTTACAATGACAATAATCAAATTATTTAAAATTGCACCTGTCCTGAAGAAGTCCAGGATTCATGATTTAGGTAATACATAAACTCCTTCTTTGATGGATATCAGAATCATAGTCAATTTTTCCAACTAAGAAAGAGATTTATTTCTATCCCCACCTTCCATCTGGTTCACTATTACTAGCTTGGTCTTTATCTCTACCTAAGAATTATTTGTTAAAGATGAAGTATGTCAAAATAAACACAAAGCATCAAATTAAACAGACTCTAATCTTGGCAAATATTCCAATAAGAGCTTTCCTATAGTTCTCCTTTCAAAAATAAAAAAAATCAGATATTCAGCAAAATCTGCAAAGGAAATAAACTGAAATGTATATAATGGTTGTTTCTGAGTAGGAAGATAATTATACAATTTTCTTTTTTCAGCTTCCTTTTTTTTTTTGAGACAGAGGCTCAAGCTGTCCCCCTGGGTAGAGTACCATGGCATCACAGCTCACAGTAACCTCCAACTCCTGGGCTCAAGCGAGTCTCCTGCCTCTGTCTCCCAAGTAGTTGGGACCACAGACTCCCGCCACAACGCCTGGCTATTTTTTGGTTGCAGCTGTCATTGTTGTTTGGTGGGCCTGGGTTGGATTCGAACCCACCACCTTAGGTGTATGTGGCTTGTGCCTTAGCCACTTGAGCCACAGGCGCCGAGCCTTTTTTCAGCTTTCTTTATTTTCTAAATGTTAAGCTGTGAGCGCTTACTACATTTATAATCAGAAAAAAATTTGATTAAAATGAAACTGAAGATTTAGCAAGCCACACTCAATGACAAAACCTTTATCTTCATCCTTCACTCTTAATTTCTGGATGGTAAGGTATACCTGAAGACAAAAACACAGTTAAAACCTGCTACTCAAAAGATTTTGGCAAAAGAGGTTAGCGGATAGACTTTGCATTCGTATTGTCATCAAAGGATAAAGAGAAGTGAGGAACACTTTAAAAGGGCTCTACCCAAATGGAAGCATATTTCCCAGGGCCCCTATTTAAGGTGCCAGGCCCTGTGCTCATTAGTCTTACTTTATAGATGAGGAAATCAAGCTTTACAGTTTGAGCGGCTGGTCTGGGAAGAGCCAAAGACACAGCAAGGTCCCCCAAATTCCAAAGAGTCCACTCATGATTCCCAAACTGCACTGCTCACTGTGAGTCGACCGAGCAACCTGAGACGCAGAGCACCTAGCCCAAGGCTCGCACACCAGCTTGGGACGCACCTGTCAAGGACTGAGACTGCTGCCTCCCTGCAGTGATGCTTGGTACCAAGGAGCTTTTCATGAAACTCATGCACAAAACCAGTATCACCTGATCGTAATTTTAAAATTAGAAGTCTACATCACAAAAAGCTTGAAAACCAGCAGGAAGATAATATTAACCCTAATCACACCAATTTATTATTATTTTAAAATTCCCTTTTTTCCTATTTGTAAAAGACGCCCTTTCAGCCTTCATACCACTCTCTGTGCTGCTTCTAACACTCATGATGACTCTGTTTTCTTTGTTGCATCACACTTCATTTTTGTTGGCCTAACTAAATACACCACTGCTTGTTTAGTCATTTCCTCACTGTGGGACATTTACTGTTGCTGCCAGTCGCTTTATACTGAATATGGCGGTGGTGATCACTTTAGTGCTTCAGGCTTTTTCTACATTGGACTATTTCTTTCAGAAGATTCCCAGAAGTGGCATTAACTAGGTCAAAAAGATATGAGCATTTTATGGTTCTTGAAATCCACTGCCAAAATGCTTTCCAAAAAAGGCTGTACTTCTTTACAATGTCATTGGTAAAAATATTAGAGAAGATCTACTCATTCCCACCAGCATTACACATATAGTTAAAACCATCCAGATTAGTGGTTCTCAATCTTCCTAATGCCGTGGCCCTTTAATATAGTTCCTGTGGGCTGCGACCACTGAACTAGATGCTGTCAAAATGCTTGACCTTAGGAGGAGATACCTAGGTGTGACTGAATGGCCCTAATCAAGGAAAGTCAACTGTTTGACAAGTGGCTTTAGTTTTGAGAGGCAGTTTGGTGAGGCAGAAATCTGGAGTTAAAGACTGCTTGGGCTCAAATTCTGGCTGCACTGATTATTATTATTTTGTTCTATTTTTAGTAGAAACGAGGTATCTGTTGCTCAGGCTGTTCTCTAACTCCTGAGCTCAGGTGATTCACCCGCCTCAGCCTCTCAGGGTGTTAGGACTACAGGCGTGAGCCATCACACCCAGCCTGCTCTGATTATTACTGTGTGATTTTGAGAGTTACTTAATTTTGCAAAGACTCAGTTCCTCATCTGTAAGATGTAGTAATAGAACCTATCCTTACAGAGTTGTCAAGACCAAATGAACAGTTACAGTGCCTGGCATATAACATGAGCCCGTTTTTAGTTGCTATAGTTACAAAATCATTAAGAGGCTAAAGAGACCATCTAAGTTTGTGGGGAGTGATTTATATTTCATAGTGGCATTCACTGATGTTTTAGGTATTTGTGTATCTCCTAACACCAGGTAAAGTAAAAGCAATTCTACAAACATTGCCCATTGCTATTTTTTCCTCTAGAAAGACAGATCCACTACAGAGCAAATGTGAATATTCCAGCCAATGCAAGGTTTGACAATTTTTATTTTTTCTAGCTTAAAAAAGCACATGGCAATGCTTTCATCTTAATTTTATTTCTGCTTAATTAAAAAGCTACAGGGTTTTCTGTGTCACGACTTACAGGTTACCTTCCATATCCACAGGTTTTACATCCAAGATTCAACCAACTACATGTTGAAAATATTTAATTTAAAACCCCACAAACAAGAAATCAAAACAATAAAAAATAATGCAAGTTTTTTTTTTTTTTTTTTGAGACAGAGCCTCAAGCTATCCCCCTGAGTAGAGTGCCATGGCATCACGCTCACAGCAACCTCCAACTCCTGGGCTCAAGCGAGTCTCCTGCCTCCGCCTCCCAAGTAGCTGGGACCACAGGCACCCGCCACAACGCCTGGCCATTTTTTGGTTGCAGCCATCACTGTTGTTTGGCGGGCCCGGGCGGGGGATTCGAACCCGCCACCTTAGGTGTACGTGGCTGGCGCCTTAGCCGCTTGAGCCACAGGCGCCGAGCCAATAATGCAAGTTTTTAAAGTGCAGTTTAACAACTATTTACATAACATTTGCATTGTGTTAGGCATTATAAGACAGCAGTCCCCAACTTTTTTGGCACCAGGGACCAGATTCAGGGAAGATAGTTTTTCCACAAATGAGGGGATTAGATTCTCACAAGGAGCGTGGAATCTACATCCTTTGCATGTTCAGTTTGCAGTGGGGTTCATGGTCCTATGAAAATCTAATGCTCCCGCTGATCTGAGAGGAGGCAGAGCTCAGGCAGTGATGCGAGTGATGGCAGCAGCTGTAAATACAGATGAAGGTCACTGCTGCTGTGTGGCTAGTTTCTACTGTACCCAGTTTGTGGCCTGGGGGTTGGGGACTGCAATTATAAGCAATTTAGAGATGACAAAGTGTATGTTGTATGAAGATGTACGTAGGTTTTATGCAAACATGCCATTTTAAATAAGGGACCAGAGCACTTGTGAATTTGTTATGGAGGGGTCTTATAACCAATCCCCAGCAAACCCCAAGGGATGACTACTGATATTGCCTTCTGTGCCTGTTGCTTTCTTTTTTCCCACTGAATTAGTGAAATCTAGTTTTGAATGTTACACATGCTTAAGATACATAAACATTATTTATATATTTTGGATATTTTTGTTTGTTTTTTTGAGACAGAGTCTCACTCTGTTGCCCAGGCTAGTGTCCCATGGCCTCAGCCTACCTCACAGCAACCTCAAACTCCTGGACTCAAGTGATCCTCCTACCTCAGCCTCTCAAGTAGCTTGCACTATAGGCACCTGCCACTATGCT